GCTAAAAGCCTGCAACCACCATCACCATCACTATCGTCATCACCAAAATTATCATTAGTATCACCCACCATCATCATCATCATCATCGTCATCACCAAAATTATCATTAGTATCACCTACCACCATCATCATCATCATCGTCATCACCAAAATTATCAGCTTATCAACCCTACCTGCACCGGTTCCCTTGGAAGACAACGCAATTCACCAAAATTATCATTAGTATCACTCACCACCACCATCATCGTCATCACCAAAATTATCATTAGTATCACACACCACCATCATCATCATCATCGTCATCACCAAAATTATCATTAGTATCACCTACCACCATCATCATCATCATCGTCATCACCAAAATTATCATTAGTATCACACACCATCATCATCATCATCATCGTCATCACCAAAATTATCATTAGTATCACCTACCACCATCATCATCATCATCGTCATCACCAAAATTATCAGCTTATCAACCCTACCTGCACCGGTTCCCTTGGAAGACAACGCAATTCACCAAAATTATCATTAGTATCACTCACCACCACCATCATCGTCATCACCAAAATTATCATTAGTATCACACACCACCATCATCATCATCATCGTCATCACCAAAATTATCATTAGTATCACCTACCACCATCATCATCATCATCGTCATCACCAAAATTATCATTAGTATCACACACCATCATCATCATCATCATCGTCATCACCAAAATTATCATTAGTATCACCTACCACCATCATCATCATCATCGTCATCACCAAAATTATCAGCTTATCAACCCTACCTGCACCGGTTCCCTTGGAAGACAACGCAATTCACCAAAATTATCATTAGTATCACTCACCACCACCATCATCGTCATCACCAAAATTATCATTAGTATCACACACCACCATCATCATCATCATCGTCATCACCAAAATTATCATTAGTATCACCTACCACCATCATCATCATCATCGTCATCACCAAAATTATCATTAGTATCACACACCATCATCATCATCATCATCGTCATCACCAAAATTATCATTAGTATCACCTACCACCATCATCATCATCATCGTCATCACCAAAATTATCAGCTTATCAACCCTACCTGCACCGGTTCCCTTGGAAGACAACGCAATTCACCAACAAAGACATGACTGGCCATCATAATGCACGGTTCTTCTTGCCGATACGTAGATACTTTTTGTCCAACTTTCTTCTGTTTTTCACCATTCACTTTTGAGAGAATACCATTGGTACAGTCTGGTAAACTTTCCTTCGCTTTTGTTTTAAAATCATCAAGACTCCATCGTGACTCATCCGTACTAGATATTACATCAGGTTTCTCTTCTGTGCTTCCAATTTTCTCACTAGCACTATCTTGATTTGGTTCACACTATTCAATCAAAATAATGCTATTAATGTTCTTGACCACTAGAGCGTAACTCGGAAATAGTCTATTGCTTGCTCCTCTATAAGTGATGAAATTTCGGAGAATAGTAACGCTTATTGCATGTACAAATACTATACCATGATATCTTGAGCGTTGTCGTTCCAACCTCGTTCAGCGTTCTTGTGTGGTGGGGCATCAAGATCATCAATGTCATTTATCTCCGTATTATCAGTCATTTCTATATTGTAAATCAAGATGAATGAACAACCAAACAAAACAAAATGAATGAAATAAATAACGACGTGACGTATGCAGGTAGCAAAACATTGCATTAAAAGGGTACTTGACACAGAGATGGATGGCTATCACTGTTTCAATTTTACAGAAAAACGTTCTTACGAAATGCAAAAAATGTCAAACTTTCACTTTGATTTATCATTGAAACTTTCCCAAAGGGAGATGCGTCATCAGGGATGCCGGAAGCACGGGTGCAGCGGGTGCAAGTGCACCCGTTGCCTTTTGCATTTTCAACTTTGTGGGTGCAGTACGGGTGCAGAATACGGGTGCAACGGGTGCACAAAGTGCCCTTTTTGCGTGAAAAATTTTAATTAAAATTGCATTTTTTGCGCAAAAGGCATTTTTGAAAAATTCAATCTATGTTATTTCCGGAAAAATGTTTTAATTTCCGGAAAAAGTAACATTTTCCGGAAAATTTTTCGGTATGTCCGGAAAATTTTTTTCGTATTTAGGAAAAATTGTGGTATGTCCGGAAAAATTTTTTTACCCCTAAAATGGTACACTAAAAGATTTGGCGACGGGGGGGGGTGAGGTCGCCAAAAATAATTTTTAGATGCCCTTTCATTTTCATTAGTGCCCTTTTGTTAAGGAATATGCCCTCTTGTTAACCAATTGCACCTGTTGCCCCCAGCAACTTCCGGCATCCCTGTGCGTCACTTTTCAGGGGAGGTGCAAAACGATCTCAGGGGAGGTGCACACCTTTCAAAGTTTGCCTGACGAAATTGTGTAATATACTTGACAAGATAGGGACTGGGGATGTCACACACCGCACACCACCGCGGGTAGTTTCACCCCTGTCTTGGAGTAAGTAAAACACATCCAGTGGAAACCATATCAGCCATAATTTTATACATTCTTGATAAACTTCCTTCATTCAAAATGCTCGTTAATAATCAGTAAATCTTTAATGGTCTTAATTGCTGACTAATTAAGCCTTTTAAAATATGTGGATGTGGATTCTTGCTCGCCGATTCAGCCTTTCGGTGGAAACACTCTGTCGAAAACTCGACTAAAACTAACTCAAAATGCCTTGTAAACTTCAAAAATTCTACAAAGTGTTATAGTTGGGAAGGAAGCGCTTAAAAACCCAGCTACAGACATCAAACAACATTTACAAAGACAACATGCTCACCGGCGCGTGTCTTCGACAGCTCTGCACTTAACTTTCAACTAGATCGATAACGTAAACTAATAAACTATATGAGTTTACAAATTAAACCACAGGCATTTTAAAACAGTATTACAGGGTGTATCATAAAAAACGGAGTCCATCTTTTGTACTTTTAAGTTATTAAAATAACTATCGGCCTGCTATATTTAATAAAACGGTTTTAGGCTTATTTTAAGGCCTGCTCATTTATCTTTCGAACAAATGGTCATCCGTGTCTTTAGTGCAAGTAATAACTGCACAGGAGAAAATTTAGTAAAACCTATAATTTTTAGATGCCGCCTAATTATACAAATTTACTATGATATTCCATAAACTTCCATAGTCGGTTACAATGTTTGAATTTTCTTGTTCAAACTTTAATGTTCTTGTTGCCACATCAGAAAAACTAGTAAAAACTTGTTAAAAACATTCTAAAAGAGATTAGGTTGTTTTATTTATTTCAAAATCCTAAATTATTTCCAGAAATCATCAAAACAATCTTATGTCCATGCATCGTCCGAACTAACGCCATCGAATCGGGCGCAATGTAAACATAAATTAGCAAGTTGACGGCAAGCTAAAACACGCTTCAGCTGGGAATATAAACGCATTTGAAGTCAGCAAGTGAATTTAAAATAGTGTATTGGAAGCCATTATTACTTGATTTTTACAAGCAATTGCCAAAATGCCTCAATTTGCTCGTTTTGTTGACAAAATAAGTTATTTTCATCAAGTACCGGTTTCTTATTGCATCTCAAATTTTTGACTCTCCAATCGCAATCACTTAAAATATTATTATTCACGAACTTCTAGATATATGTATATATATATATATATATATATATATATATATATATATATATATATATATATATATATATATATATATATATATATATATTCTCCTGCCAGGGACCTATATTTGCATTTTTTGCAACTGCTCCTGTTTAAGTGTAATAAATATATATAAATTTCCACTCAATAATTTCCATTAACAAGACCCGCAATATAGTATGTATGGCACGACAGTCAGGGCATTTTTTAACTATATAACTGGGGGGCCAAAGCCCCCCCAGCCCCCATGGTGCCCCCCCCCCTCAACCATTTTGGCCCCCCCAGTCAAAGTCCCTTTTCTCTAAAATATAAGCAAAACATGGAATTTAGAAGGGAGGTTTGATATTCTAGTAAACTTTTATGTTTAATAAATACCTTATTAGATTCTAAACATTTCCCAGGCAGTGCATTGCATTTCCCAGACCCTATAGAGTTTGAGTTGTTGGACAAGTTAGTGACCGCAGGGGGCAACAGGCCCTCAACCAAGTGTTTTATAAGGGGGGGGATAATTTTGGCCCCCACCAAAAAAAAACAATTTGATTTCGAAACTAGAAGTATTTGAAATCATATATACATATAATCAAATATCTGTAATCGATATTTTGATAACATTTCTCGTAATAATCCATCCTGACTTGCGGATATCATAGAGTCGACTCACAAATCATAATGAACGAATTAATGAAAGGGCCAAACAAAAGACGTATAGAAGACTTTGAAAATGCCATTTCCGATGATTTAGAGACGCAAAATTTTCAAAATTTTTCCGCTCTGTGCCAACCATGGTGGCGCTTCGTGGGAGTCGGGAACTCTAAGTTTATCAAGCTGGCTGGCTCCCTAAGTGACGGCCAAGTTGTGGTATCTACATAAACATACTATGCAAGTACTTAACTGAAGGTTCAGTCTATCTACAGCATAGTGTAATGCTGTATATTCAAAAATCTGTTTCAGAAAATGCAGGGAAATGCAGTCATAGGGGTAGAAAAATACAAAAATTTTCTGGAGGAGAAAACCCCAGACCCTCTCCAGGGCCGTAGCAACCAAGGAGGGGGGGGGGAGGCTGGGGGGCTGCAGCCCCCCAATAATTTGCTAATAATCATTCATTTTTCAAAATCATGCAGACCTTTATTATTTAATCCATGACAAACTGCAAAGAATGAAGATATTACCCATACTTTTCTAAATTTCCGCATACTAAAAACGCTGTTTTCTGACAATCAGAAATCTGTCAAATCTTCCCCCAAAGTCCAGGAAATGGCATTTCAGAGACTCTAAATTTAAAAATTTCCTCGGGCCTTCGGCCCTCGCTTTCGCCCCCCAAAACTAAAAGAGCTTCCTACGGCCCTGCTCTCCCCCCCCCCCTACTATTAAATGCGATACGACACCAAACTTTTTGTTACCAACAAACGATCTATCATTGCTCCACATTCGGTATAGTATGGTCCCTTTTTGTAGATGGCCCCCCCACTGACGAATTCTTAAAAAATGCCCTGG